TGTTGCGATTGTCATATTGGACAACTGTAAATAATAAAACCTTCTTTTATTTTCCATACAAGAAAGTCCCGTCTATCTGGACCACAGGCTTGCAGTATTTGACAGCATTAACGCACTGTGGGTAAGTCCAAAAAACCTGGTAGAATTGGCATCGATCGCGAAGAACTCAATCATTATGGTATGCATAGCAGGTTTCGAAGTCCACAATTATCCCAGGATTCAACGTTCGCACCGGCGTAAACCAACCTGGAAGTTCGTTGTAAGATGCATCACATTTGCCATAAAGTTTGACAATGGCATTTTATTTTGCCAACCAAGCTTTTTTATAGGAGACAGTGTACACATACTGCGACTGTATAGCTGAAATCAACACTGCAACAACTATATGAGAGCTTGTTTTTACCATGGGCATGATGGCTTGGCATATCATTTTAGAGTCCAAGTTGGGATGATCTTGGTTGACCCCTCCAACACAACATGTGTGAGGATCGTTGTATACTGTTAGTTCTCATATGTTATTTTTCCTCTTCCTCTTCGATACGCGAACCATCCAATTGCATCCGTTTTCGCGTTGGGCATAGTAGCATACATATTTTTCAGTCGTCGAGCGGTCGACTCTGGACTGAGTAGAATTATGAATATTGTAATTTTTTTATAGCCATCATAGCTTCTTATTTGCTTGAAAACTCCATGCCTAAAGATAACTCACCATTATTATTGATGAGTAATATCCATAGTCACCGAGATGAGGCATATCCGCAAATTCTGGCCTGTACATTGCACCATAATCAGCTTTATACATGTGTGCTGGAGGGTCAGTTTGTGCCATATTTCCTGAAACTTCATCTACATCATCATCATCATCGGAGTTGAATTGCAGTGATTCTGGGTGAATGAATAGTCCAGTCTCAGCATCATCCGCACCAGGCTCACGAAGTGGTTCTTCTGGTGGAGATGATGGTTCCTCCATGCTCTCCACATTTAGGTTGAAGAACCTACTACTTGCACGCCTTCCCCTTGAACTAGAAGGCATATCGACATTGAGATCAAAAAAGCTCGCAGTCGAATGCCTCCCCCTAGAGCTTGAAGCCATCGTGTCAAATGGAAACTGCACAGATTGTTACGTCGATGACATCTCCATATTAAGGTCAAAGGGATTTGCAGATGAATGTCTTCCCCTTGAACTGGACGCGATGTTGCCATACAAATTGTTCATCGACCCACCTCGGTACATATCGTAAGGAGTTACGGATGAATGTCTCTCCATTATGGTATTAAAATCATTACACATTACTATCGTCGGGCTGTCAACTTGATCAACTTGTTCAGCAAGCCCATAGTGGGAGCTTAATGATTAACCCCGAACAGCACGCACTTGAACAAAATTTGCATATATCTGAATATCGACGTCTGAATAATTACTTTGAGCTTCAACCATCATTTCAACATCATCATTGTTCGGAAGTTCGAACGTTGTATAAGTTAATGACAACAATGATGTTGGAAATCTGTACTGCAACGACGACATTCTTCTACTACTTCCAACATGAATCTTTCTCGAAATATTCGTTATCAGCTTCTCAAGAGTTATGTTTCTCTTGAATGATATTTTAACACGCTCATTTGATACGAAAACAACGACGGTTTCATCTTCTCGAATTTCACCGTCATAATAAACAATAGCTGAAAATCGCGTCATTCTTTGAGTTTAAAAGTGCGGCAATATTATATCTGCAAAAAAAACTGAAATAAACATGATTAAATAAATAATATATGAACGAAAATATAACACAATAAAATTTTTACACATAAACGAAATGGTATTTATAGCCGAGAAAAGCTACAAGACGCGGTACTTACATCGCGCCTTACATAATTATCAGATAAAGCTAAGACGGACCCCTGGTCCGCGCCTAATATAATTATGTTAAAGGTAAGGCGCGGCCCCTGCCCCGCGCTATACCTGTATGTGGCATAAGGCGCGACCCAGGGGCCGCGCATTAGCCACGTGTATCCAACTCAACGCGCGTCGCAGGGGGCGCACCTTATCCCACGTGGTGCTAAATTAGCGTAAAACACAATGTAGGGGCGCCTTTCTATAAAGAGTGTTAGATAGAGAAATATAGTCTAAACGGTACCTGATCGAGAATATTAAATGAGAGGGTGATTTTTCAGGAAAAACACCCTTAAAATCGTATCTACCAAAATTAATAAAATAAAACATAGAGTGGTTGTTCCTAGAATGGTCATTGTTTGCTGCAGTCAACAATTTCTGAATCTTTCTTGCAACTTGCCCCACCTCTACTGTCCTTTCCATTATATTGAGTGCAATCAACAAATTTCAATACTAACAGTTGCCTATTTGGTCATCCTTCTATAATTTAATTTATGTTTTAATCACTTAACTGTTACCTTTTTCAAAATTATACTTAATATTATATTTTAGTTCTTTTTAATCATCTGTCATTAAAAAAACTAAAGATGATACTAATGGGTTATTATAAGTTAATCATGCCAACAATGAAAAATAAAAAATATCAAATCAACATCGATGATAATTATTATATAATTTAGATTATCAAAATAAAATTAAGATGTAACGTTAATTGTGATAATAATTAGATGACAAACAAAAATTAAATAATAAGTGTATGACCAAACAAGTAATTTACCCAATATTTTAATCCAACCCTTGTACTTACCATGGTATAGATCATAAAGAGAAATAAGGATTAGGATTCAACCAGATATACATTTTTGTAGTTCCAAAGAAAACATGGTAATGTTAATGCAACTCCTCGATTCACCATTTTAGGCTTAAAACAAAGGGAAATCCATGGCCCTACCATGTTGTTGTTCATCTTTTTCTTCATTTCTCGCCTTTTGAATCCCACCTTTTGCATGTTGTTTCAAACCCCACCAATATGTTAGTCAAATTTGTTCATTTGTTGTTTTTCAAACATACCAATCTTCACTTTTGTTCTTCTGTTTTTTTTTTATGCTCAAGCTTAACAATGGAAACAATCCAACCCAAACCAGCTTTCAACAATGGAAGCCATAAGAGCAAACTAGCAAGAACTTTCCAAAGGGTCGTCAACCTAAGAACCGCCACAAAAATCGCTTCAAGCAATGGAATTGGAAATGGCTCCCACGACGGCTCCGATGTTAACCGAAGAGTTGCTGCCTTGGAAACTCTGGTGGCCATGGTTTTCGCCGGTGTCACTTCCATTAAAGCTGCTTACGCCGAGCTACAACTGGCTCAACACCCTTACAACAGCGACGCCTTTCAAGCGGCCGATGAAGCCATCGTGGAACAACTCAAAGTTCTTTCGGAGCTGAAGCACAAGTTTTTAAAGCAGGAGCTTGAGGTTTCACCTCAAGTCACTTTGATGCTAGCCGAGATCCAAGAACAACAAAGCTTGATGCGCACTTACGAGATCAGAATCAAGAGGCTTGAATCTGATATCGAAAGAAAAGTTGCAGACATTGCTTTGCACCTTAAATAGCTTAAAGATTGCACCTTTTTTAAAGAAGTCCATGGAGAAGAAACTAAACCAAAGTGGGCTTCTCTCAATGTTCGATAACATCTAGTTCACAACGTTGAATCCAAGTGATTCCGTGCAAGTTCTGCACTTCACGATGAAATCTGTTCGTAGTTTCGTGAGGTTGATGATGAAGGAGATGGAGATAGCAAAATGGGATGTTATGCAGCTGCTAAAACATCGAGCCTGGTACCATTCTGGCAAAACAAAGCCATCGATACTTTGTCTTTGAATCCTTTGTGTGTAAAACAATGTTAGAAGGCTTCGTTTCTCATGATTTCGGGCTCACAAAGGAGCAATATTTCAATGAATTCAAGAGCCTGAAAATTGTTTAGCCGAAACGTTTTCTAGTTCAAAACCCAGATTCTTCTTTTTTTAAGTTCGCCATAGCCAAGTACCTAAAGCTTGTTCACCCTAGAATGGAGTGCTCGTTTTTTGGGAACTTGAACCAGAGGGAGGTTGTTATCAATGGCGGGTTTCCAGAAACGGCTTTTTTCACAGCTTATGCAGAGATGGGATGGCGATTTTGGCTACTGTGTTGCTTGGGGTTTTCGATGAGTGGACAAGTTTCAGTCTTTCAGGTGAAGAGGGATTGTAGATTTTCCGACGTTTATATGGAAAATGTGAGTGAAGAATCACTCTTTTGCGACAAAAATATCAGCAGCAACGAAATCTTTGGTTTTAGAGTTTGTTTCACGGTGGTTCCGGGCTTCAAGATCGGTAAAACTGTGATACAAAGCCAAGTTTACTTGTCTCCGCTGAGTTTAAAAGCATAGTAACTTGGTCATTAAATGGAACATGTAGAGATAATGTCATCCACGCTCGGACTGGTACTAGCGCCGCCCGGAGGGAGGTAAGCGCTGTCCTCAAGTGAGTTTAACTTCAGTTCCCACTTGAGAACTGCAGTTATCTTCCATGTTACGGAGACAGACCAAGCGGAGCGTGAAGTGGTGCGTCAAATAAGGTCTGTTAGCAGCGGCAACAGCTTGTGGACCCAATGCCCGAGGGGATAGTGGAGCATCTAGGTTTTGGCCTTAAGGGGGACAAGAACAGTGGTTTTCTTCTTCTTTCTTTTCCTTGGTATTTTTAAATTAGGTTTATATACAAGAGGAAAAAGAATGTAGTAGTAGTACTAGTAGTGGAATGCAGTTTTTGTAAATGTTGACTTGTCTAAAAGAAATCATACACAAGATTTGCAAGTCGCATTGGGATATATATAATTTTAAACTAAGTTTCCCTTTTCCATGATGCATGAACAATCGCATATTTCTTACATATACATACATGTGCATGTATGTATGTATATACTCATGCATGTGTGAATATATACTTACTGCCTCATATACTTGCACTTTTGAAGAGTTGGTTTTAAGACTTGAGAAACCAAATGGTAAACATAAGAAAAACCAGTAGCAAATACCAACACAAAATTTACAGATTCAATGAAGATGGATCCAATAGAAAAAGAAACACACTCGTGAAATATTTATAAATTTGACATTTGGATATGATCATTCAACAGGATGACATTTTCAACCAGCTGAGGCAAACTTGCTATACCAGAAAGAAAAACTTAGATATATATATGTTGGGTGAAATAAATGATATACTTCTCTGGTTGTACTGCAATTCAATACACACATCCTCTATGTTACCCTCATGTTAGTCACTGCACAAAGGATATATTTAGTAACAAAGTTCATGCATGTGATGGTAAGCAGTTTTTCCATGGTTTTTTTTTTCTTTCAGTTCCCTGTCTTGTCTCCATGAATCAACCCATGGAATTCCTCCTCATCGATGCCTGGACGACAGTTGGTCACACACAGAATGTTGTTTTCAATAGGCCAACCATGGCATTCTTCCTGACTGGCCAAAACGGATAACAGGCCCTGAATTCGATGTTGAAGTGATAGAGTATGTTTCAAAAAGAATCAGGGTCTGAAGCTTCTGCCAAAGCTTCAAGCATGTTTATGACCTCCGCCGGGTCATCCAAGTAATACTTGGCTTTGCTAGGTTTCTGGCCAACCGTGCAGGCAAAAACAGATGTATTTGGGGAGAGAACACCGCCGGAAATGGCACTATTGATGATCTCAAACATCTCCTCATCGGATCTGTCGTCGCCTATGCAGAGAACAAAATCAGCCTGCTTTCCCCTCTCGGTCATGGTTGCGAAGATCTTCTCGGCTACCACACCTTTACTTACTCCCTAAAAGAACAATAAATAGTTGATTCGATATCATGCATTCGTATAAACAACAATGACAATGTCATTAGATCACCTACAGATGCACTCATAATCATTGGAATAAGAAATGGATTAAATCAGTTTGCAACAATTTGAAAACCGGAAATCAAAACCCATGTAAAATACCTGTGGTTTTACTTCAACAATAAACTGGCCACTTTTCACAGACACAGGTTCATTTGCTAATACACTCTCGAGATGGTCTAACATCTCCTTCGCCTGACCAGATCCAAAACCCAGGTCAGCGTCTCGATGGTGCCAGACCAAGGCACTCTCTTTCGTTTCAATATTGGAGCCATCAGTGGCCTCTGTATACAATTTCATAACAGGCTCGGCTATTTGCTTCCACCCGAATTCACTATTCTGCCCACAAATTTCCCAGTTGTCATTAGCAGACCACCTGGAATATCAACAACTTCAAAGTAAGTCCACATATTCAAGAAGCACTAAACCGGAACAAAGGCCAAAAAAAATAGGGAAAAACAAAAACAGTATACCTCATGAAATAACCATGTTCAGCTGCAATTCCCAGTTTCTTACACGGAGAAAACCACTTGCTTAAACTTTCTCTTCCTCTTCCACTTACAACAAAGACTGTATTCCTGGTATCATTAGAGAGCGCATTTACTATCGAGATAACCTCTGCACTTGGCGTCTTGTTATGTGACGTTTGGGGCATAACCGTTCCATCATAGTCCAATAGTATAGCCCTGTTTTTGGACCTTAGATACACAGATACAATGTGATCAATAGACAACTTTCTGAAGTTGGGATCGAGGGCTACCACTCTGAATCCAAAGCTCAAACCGATCCCCCAACAACGTTTTCTGAAATGATCTTTACATGTCCTTTCCATATCTTGGAAGAAGCTTCGTGACCAGAATGCTACATCATGTGAGCTAACATACCTATAATGCTTCTCATGGCACAACTGCTTCTCACCATCAGCCATGGAGATTGCCTCGTTCATGGCCTCGGCAGTTGATTCGATGTTCCAAGGATTTAACCGAATTGCACCACTGAGCGAGGGAGAGCAGCCAATGAACTCCGATACAATTAGCATGCTCTTCATTGGTCCATTTGATTCAGTGGAAGATTCTGATTCAGGCACTCCCTGCCGGCACACAATGTATTCGTAAGGAGTAAGATTCATTCCATCCCTCACAGCAGTGACTACAACACACTCGGCTATAGTGTAATATGCAAACCTTTCACAAAGGGATACTGGTCTATCAATTAAGACAATCGGTTCATAACCAGGCTGACCAAAAGTATCGCTTATTCTCTTGCAGCTCTCCTCAATTTCATCCTGTATCTCCTCTAGATCTTTCCCTCTACCCCTAGCAGGGTTTGTAATCTGTACCAGAACTGCTCTTCCTTGCCATTTCGGGTGCTGTTTCAGCATCTGCTCCATGGCCAACAGCTTCAAGTTGATACCCTTAAAGACATCCATGTCATCAACTCCGAGCAATACGGTCTTTCCTTCAAACTGTTGTTTAAGTTCCGCTACTCTCCACTCCTTATCCGCAAGACTCAATACAGACCTAATCTGCCCCATGTGGATCCCAACAGGCATGATCTTTATCCCAATCGTCCTTCCATAGTACTCCAACCCGATATAACCCCTCTTCGATTGATACTCCAAGCCCAACATTCGACTACAACAAGACAGAAAATGCCGAGCATAATCAAAAGTATGAAAACCAATGAGGTCAGAATTCAATAGTGCCTTCAGTATCTCTTCCCTTACAGGTAAGGTCCTATATATCTCGGACGAAGGGAACGGACTATGTAGAAAAAATCCCATTCTCAATCTATTAAACCTTCTTCTCAAGAATGTCGGCAGCACCATCAAATGATAATCATGTATCCAAACATAATCATCTTCAGGGTTTATAACCTCGATCACCCTTTGAGAGAAGATCTTATTCGCAGCAACATACGCCTCCCATAAAGACCTATCAAACCTGCCTCCGTGATTGGCAGAAAACGGAAGCATGTAATGGAAAAGCTGCCACAAATGCTGCTTGCAGAAACCATGATAGAACTTTGTCAAAATGTCCGACGGCAGAAAAGCCGGGACACACCTGAATTTATCCAACAAAACCTGTGAAACATCATCTTGTTCAATGGGATCGACATCGACCTTCAAAGAACCAACATACAAAACCTCCATTTCTTCGGGCAAACCATCTTTCAACTGTAACAACAACGAATCGTCATCCCAACTAAAACTCCACCCTTTATTATCCGGCCTGCGCTTAGCTTTAACCGGGAGTTGATTAGCTACAATAATAATTCTATCTTGAATAGCCGACGACGGTGCATCTGAGGTAACACTATTAGCCTGATCATCATCGAGCTCCGAAATAACCCCGGGAACAGTCATTACCCGCGGCAGCCGCTTCTTTTCACGAGGCTGACCCATCACCGGGAAATTACCGGACGCTAGATCTAAAAGATTGGTATACGACCTCGACATCATCTTTACCAACTACTTTAGTTACTAACCTCAACAAGAATCAATCAACAAAGATCCTAAAACTATAAACAAAAAGACCCCTAGAGGTTTTTTTTGTTCAACTTCCAAAAACACTCTTTCAATTTGACATGATCTGCATTGAGTATCAGCAAAGATGTCATCTTTACATGAATGACATAAAAAAAATCCATGAATAAATAAGATCCAAGAAGAATACACAAACTAATATTATAATCAAAATTACACTAAAAAGATGAACTTTTTTCAATTAGATGAATCCAAAACAATGGGAGTAAATTAAAACTCGAAACTTTGAAACTAAACTTACCCTTCGCAAGCACAAAGTTGGTGTTTTTTAATGAACCTTTGGATGCAAATATGAAAATTTTAGGGTTTGTTTCTGCTCCTCTCTTTATCTGAAAGAGCCACATTTACAATCCCTTTTTTTTCTCCCTTTATATTATACAAAGTTTTGGAATATAAAAAGCAAGAGGATAAGGTCGGACAGCAGGCAACCCAGTAATGCCAGCTGGCATTGTTGAGTTTTTCACATCACGCGCCCTTTCTCCCTACTACCGAGGTATCCGCTTACGTGTCCGATAGGCGACATCGACACGTGTCTGTTCCACTGCTACCCTTCGGCCCCACGCGTCATCTTACCAAAAAAGTATCGTAACCACTTTTGTTTGGACACGTAGCAACTACCTTACGTGGCGCTGAATCATTGGAATATCTGTGGTACGCCGTAATGCTCGAACGTACCCCCGGTTTCACGGAAATCGCCACGTAATCGGGACTAGAGTGTTTTTACGGATGAGGTGGAGAGCGTGATGACATGGAAATAAATGACATCATTGCTGAAGTCATAATGATGAGGTGGCGAGACATGATTGGATGACCTATTTTCCCTCTTTTTTTCGCCGCGTTCTGCTTATGATCTCTGGGACCGGAAACAAGCTTTTTTCTTCTTTCTTTCCTTTTTATCTTGATATGAAATGTCATTTTCACCCTTTGGGAGTTTGCCACGTTGTGAGGCTATAGGGATTGGAATTAGGAATTGAATGAGAAATTAGGGGCTAGAATTGAAATTACACAGAAAGGGTGGGGTTTATAAAATATTAATGCAGGTGTGACCAAACACCATCTAAGCTGGTTATGATCAGAACAAATTAGTGGTTCTTTTGTTTTGTTGAATATGTTTGGGGAATGGAAGCAAAGTAATAATAACATGCCAAAAATAGTCTCAATATTTATTAAATAGTTATTTTAACATTTATTCTTATTCTTAAAATATTTTGACCCCAACGCTTTTATTTTGGAATAAAAAAATTTCCTTTAAAGATGAAAACCATTACAATTAAAAAATGATGAAAATCATTAATTAATACACGATTAATGCTTAAAAATAGGAGATTTTTATGACCTAAAATGAAATATTGAGGGCTAAAATGTCCCGACAAAAAAATAAAGGGCAAAGTGATTATTCTGTCAAATGTTAAGGGTCTTTTTGCCTGAAAATGAAATGTTGGGGCCAAAATGCTCTAAAATTAGAATGGGGTAAAATATCATTTTGGTAAACGTTGAGGGATAATTTTGATATCATGCCTTAACTAAATTACGGTTTGATTATAGTTCCAATCCCTCTATTTTCTACATGTTCAAAATTCAATCCTTCTACTTTTGATTCCATAAATTTATTCTCATTGATGTGTTTTCATATAAAAACGTGACTGCCTATTCGGTACCTCATTTGTTCATGTATCTATACTTTGATTATCCAATAGTATCTTTTGATCACACCTAATGTTACATTTTCTTTCTATTTTGATCACTTATAGTTTATTTTGACTATTAACTTAACGAAGATGATGGAGTGACATGATATAATAACAATTTTAATCTCTAAAATTTATACATTCTATCAAATCAGTCACAATTTAAAATAATTCAATAAATTCTCAATATTTAAAAGTACTATCAATTTGATCCTCATTTCAATTTGAAATAATTTAATAAAATTAAACATTCAATAAAATGATGACACTTGTTGCTATCTTATTAAAAAAAGTAAATGAAAAGTAAGAATCAATGATCTTCTCAGTTTCATCAATTCAATCCATTCAACGTACGGACGGTCTCTAATCTCATGTCATCATTTTATTATAGGAAAAACAAATGAAAAATAGAAATAAACGATTCTCCTAATTTCATCAATTCGGTCTATTCAATTTAAAACTCCAAATTCGAATTGAATGGTCCGAACAAAATTATTACCAACTAAAAGCATACCCATTTTTCTACTAATCCAATTTGTTTTAGTTTATGTAATATGTAGCATATCCCTTTGATTAGGACCACCTACCAAACTAACTTGAATGACCCAACATTTTAAAAGATAAAACCCGCGTGACAAAATGTGGTAATTGTACTTAAATTAAACAGGTATTTCCAGCAAGAAAGCTAAGGACAAAGTGCTTGTGAAACCCAACTATGTAAACGTTCATCAATGGCATAGATTAAAGCAGTAAAAGACAGACATGAAAATGAAACAAAACGAAACGACAAAACAACAATCTACGCATTGTGCTTGTGGCTAGGGGGAGATGTCTCCAATGTTCCAATTTCGTGCTTTCTGATTTTAACAAGAAAATTTGGTGGTTTGAAGGCATTAATGATGACTTCATTTTTTTTTTGTTAACCTCTAAAGGTTTAGTCTTAATTAATTTACATTGATCCGGGACGAATACCTAGTTTTGGTAGGTTACTCTCCTAGTGAGGATTTTCTGTATACATAATGACTCAACTTGAAACATTAATTAAACAATATCAAACTACTTACCACTTGAACCAACTATGTTTCTGATATGAGCTAAATAATGCCCATTTCTTTTGCTTGTTTGTTCTTTTATCTTAGGTTACACGGGTTGAATCTAAGCGTATGATTAGATTCTTTTTGAGGCCATACACTATTTATTTATGTCAAGCACTGAAGAGTTTAAACGATTATTTATATGTAATACCCAAAATTTTGACAAGTGATCAAAATATAAATTTCAAAAGTTTGGTGCCAAAGTAGAAATTTGAGAAAAGTTCAAGGACCAAGTGGTAATTTTCACAAATAGAAATTTTATTTTCATAAATAAAAGTTCATCTTTAAGAATGGATTCTCTATGAAATTTAGAATTCGATCCAAAATTTGTGTAAAGAGCTATTAAGCGATAAATTCGGTGAAGTATTCAAATAATCGAATCAAATCGGAAGTGAGAAAGTTGAAATTTAGTGACTAAATTGAATTTTTGGAAAATTAGAAGGGAAAAGATGAAAATTAGTAAATAATATTTTTATATTTATTTAATGATATTAAAATGGAGATAAAAGGATGCCATGGAGGTAATTATCAAGATTCATTAAGGGTAAAATTGACTTTTGGACTAAAATGTTTAATTTGTTTAAATGCCAAGTGTATCAAGATTTTTTTCAAAGAAAACTCAAGAAGTCTTCTTCCTCCCCCATTGCGCCCGTGGGTCTCCATTGAAGGTTAGGAAGTTTTATTTTTTTCACTTTTGATCCTTTTTAATTAGATTTGGATGTGAAATAGAAATTTTTCTTACACTAAATTCTCTACAAGTTGGTATAATTATTTCATGTTTTTATATTCGGATTGTGAAATTGGTGATTATGGTGGATGAAGGGGAGATGCGAATTCAATGAAATAAGGTTGGATTAAGATATTAGGAGTGTTGTAGAGTTAGAATCAAGCATGAAAATTGCTTGGAAACAATTATAGAGACTTGTTTAGTGATCCGGCCACTATAAGGAAATTATGGAAAATGTTGAATTTGATTTTTTTTGGTGTTGAATTGATTGAGAATGATTAGAATTGAATGGAAATAAATTTTAGATGATGAATTCATGTTGGAATCAAAGTTGAGATTAAGGGAAATTAATTCCTAAATTTTCGGCCATCAAGAAATAACTACGGAAAAATTTTGCAAAAATTTCCCAAGGGCTTATAATGGTTATAGAAATTATCCTAGGAGCTTGGAATTGTGTTTTGGATCAATTTGAAGTTCGGTTAAGTTTTATGGACCTTTTTGCAAGAATTAAGAAATTAAAGGATTTAAATGCAAATGTGGGAAGTTAATGTATTATGCTGGAAATTATGACTAGAATGTTAGAATGTTGAATTTGAGTTGATTTGGAAACTTGAATAATTCCTAGGGATCAATTTTTAAGTTTTTGAAAAGTTAGTGGTGAAATTGGAAAAGTGCAATGTTAATGTTTTAATTGGGAAGTTTTATGTGAATGATGATTGATATGGATTAAAGTGAATATTAAAGGATTAATTGGCAAGGTTTTCGAAAAGTTGGATAAATTTGTGAGTATTGAGAAAGCTAGTGATTAAAAGTGAAATATTGAAAAGTTTGATGAATTATTGCGATAAGTGATTTATTAAAGGACTTGAAAAGACAATTTGATAAAGTTAAGGTCGATTTGGGTTTAATAGGAAATTAGTAATGAATGTGCATTTATAGCGTTTTTATAAATTTGATTTGAATTCAAATTTATTATATTAGCATAAGTAATTATATATGTTGAAATTGTTTATATGTCAGATTGACGAATGTGTAATTTGTGATCGTAATCGAAGTCAAAGTAAACCAGATAAAAGGATATAATACAAAGGTGAATGTGATCTTAATAGTAAGCTTTAGCGAGGCATCGGGTGAGTGTAACTTTTTTATTTTATAAATGACACGAGGATGGCTTGCGATGAGCCAACCTCAAATAATTTCGAATAAAAAATATTTAAATTATTTTATGATATATTTTTTATATTAACATATATTAAATGTTTTTAAACATTTTGAGTATGAATTACTCAATGTATTTTTATATGGCATTTCTCGGACATGAATTGTCCAATATATAGTTTTATAAGATTTTTATTTTATTCGTATATATTGATGAGTTTTTATGAGGAATGCTATATGATTTTTTTATATAAAAGCCAATGTGTATATATTAAGAGTGTGAGGTACAAATGACATTCATGAGGTGGAGTGACTATATGATACATGTTTATATGACACCTATGGGGCAATTTATGAGGCACTTTCGAGTGAAATACTAAATCTACAGGCACTTTTAAGTGCATTATAACACGTACATTCAGTGAGACTCACGTACACGATATTCTCATTTATAATACATTTGGCTATAATGAAAAATACGAGTTAATGTGAATTTATATGATTTAAATAATGAAAAGTACAAATTAATGTGACTTTATATGGTTTAAATATGAAAAGCACAAGTTAAACGAATTAGAAGGTAATAAAGGTTACAAGATACTTGATTTTCTTTTATATGTTCTACAAGCAAAATATTTTTGAATAGTTTAATTTTATATGTTTTAACATTATTTTTTATGATACAAATTGTATTTACGTTAAATGTTTTATTAATAATACTTGATTACCTTACTAAGTGAAAACTTAGCGTATAAGTGTTTCACATATAAGTACAAGCGAAATGGAAAAATAGGGAGCATATCAGCATCATTTATGAGGAATCGAATTTACCTCTAGAATCGGTAAAGACGTCGGACATCATACAATGTTCCTTTTTAATTATATAGTGGCATGTATATTATAGAGTGTTTAGTTGCTATGATATGAAATATATTTAGGTTGCAAATATTTTAAATATAGAAATTTTAAGTATAATAAGTAGAAATAATGAATAGTATTTTAAAATTCATGTTTTAAAAATTAGTTAGTTGATTTTTAAATTAGACAGTTTTAGGCAACATTATTTATGGTATAAAACAGTTTTGAATTGCAAGTTGGCCGCCTAAAAACGAATAAGATTTTAACATTAAAATGTTAAATTATGATTTTACAAGATTATTAGATTTAAACTAAAGAAATGTGATTTGAAAATTTTAAAGTAACAAAGTTTCACTATTTTTAATAGTAAAAATTTTATGCGATTTTTTTATTGAATTCAGGAATTTGAGCTTGTAAGGTCAAGTTTGAATCTCACCACCGCCACTTTTGATGTGCAATCTGTAAATTCTAAGTAAATCTCAATTGGGGTTTAGATATGCCCTGACTCTGGATTGGAGGAGCCACCTAACCTAAACTTTCTGTAACAAAAAAAATTATACGATTGATGTGACATCTATAACTCGTATATAAGCATGTATATGGGTTAAGGTTGTAAATTTATAATTTTATATAATTAACGTTTAATCATGTTTATACCTTTATCTTACAACTTTCAAGAAAAGTGAAGATTTTAAATGAGTGAAGATTCTAAACACTTCCGGTTTAGTCCAAACTACTAATCAGGGATTCAGAGCGTTACACATATGTTAAATTAATTTTACATCTTAACATTAAAAATGTATTTTATTTTTTTATTAACCTATTAAATATATTTTATTCTTTTCTCAACCTAAAAATATATTTTATTCCTATTTTAACTTAAGAATATTTTTTTAGTCTTTATCTTAACTCATAATTCGGAAATCTCTTACGGAAGCTGCTCTCAATCTAGTGTTGGGGGTAGCCTACTATCTTACCTCCCCCTTACCCCATATATATGGGAAAAAGGGACATCCATTTTTTTTTATCTTAACTTATTACATAAATTATATTCTTAACTTAAATTATTAAATATATTCTATTCTCACCTTAAATTATTAAATATAATTAATTCTTATTTTAACTTAAACCATATCTTTTATTCTTATCTTAACTTAAAAATATATTTTTATTTTAACTACAAAAATATATTTTATTTTTATCTTAAATACAAAAAATATATTATATTTTTTCTTAAATTGAAAATATTATCAGAATAAAATATAAATATTTAAGTTAAGATAAGAATAAATTATATTTTTTTAGTTTAAGATGATATTAAAATATATTTTTAAATTAAAATAAGAATAAAATATATTTAATAAGTTAAGATAAAAAATATTTTTTTAATGTTATAATGTAAAATTAATTTTTTACTGAAAAATTTAATGTAAAGTTAATTTAATATGTGAATTTAAGTTAAGATATATAAAATTAAGAATTTAAGTTTAGACTAATAAACAACATATATAATATATGTAGTCAAATTTGAACCAAATAACTACTTGGCTTAATCGTTGGGTCTTTCTTCTTTAACTTAGGAACCCCAGGTTTGATTCCCCTAAGCATTATTTAAGCGCCCAAAATTCTATTTCATCCTCTAATTGGTGAGAAAATATATCAAATTTAAAATAAATTAAAATAAATTTAATCATCCAATTGGATGGTGACACATGTCATTATATTTGGCACTAGTGACACATGACACCAATTGATTTGAGGGTTAAGTTTATTTTAATTTACTGAAATTAAGACCAAACTGATAGAATATATAAGTAATAGTGATAAAATGTGTAATTATACCAAATATTTAACTGGTGCATCAACTTTCCCTTTAAATATTAACGACAAGTAACTTAAGTGAATGCATTTAAATAGTTGAGTGATCTGATTGACAAAATTTAAAAAAATGATGATCAAAATAAAAAATGGACAATAGTTAGGTGGTCATTGTTACAGTTTACCCTTTATTTTAAATAATTTATCTTTAAATTTTCAACTAATTTATAATTATATGTTGAGCCCTTTTAAATTTTTAATTTTTATACATTAAATTAATAGTACTCATCGTTAGTGGTGCTCATTGATGCTCGTCGAACATCTTCTACTAGAATATCACAAATCCTTCAACTAGTAAAAATATTAATTAGATTAATATAAAGGTATCATTGGTCGAATTTATGTATAATATTAACATGTGAACTAACCATAAAATATGGAACACCAAAATCTACGTTCATGGGCGTACCTTTCCGAGAACCAAAGAAATCAAAGTAGATGAATGTGCCAATAAGAGAGACAAAGCTTGAGGATCATACAAATAATTATTAGAGCTTCAAGATGAATCAAATTTGGCCAAAGTACAGGTCCATTCACGTAATTACTATTGAAAAATTTATTCTGCAACATTATACATAAAATTAAAATCTACAAAATTAGATATAAACGTTAAACCAAATTTCTGAGACTTACGTTGAACTTGTATAACCACATCTGCTGTACCATACCAGAGATTGACCTCAAAAGGTAGAAGGTGATTTGAGCATTGCAATTATAAGTATCAACTTCAGCAATGATTGCAGAAGACATGGATATTTAATGTCGTATTTTATGTATAGTTTATGGATGTTAAACGTCGGTGTGGACATGTCTGATAAAACATAGCAATATATAATCGAAAAAATTTGAAACCGAGGGCTGCCGGAGAGAAGCCTGTTCACGTGTTGCCACCGAGTATGGAAATCGAATGAGAAGAACACGCGAGTATCGGTTGGAATTTCGTTGGTAACGATTCCGCCAGACAATATTAAACTTGTGAGTTTTCGACATGAAAAGATTGTAGGAGATAAATCAACATCATACTTACCGGGTAGACTAATATTAGAACAACTTGCCGCTGTAGCATAATCGATCCAATTATAAATCAGAGACTCCTTGGATAGAAGACTGGAACACCGAAGATGAAATTTGCGGATGATTGCCAAGTTTTCATGAAACTTCAAGGCATGTTCCATGACTTTTTGGAAGCTACCTTTCGTAGAATGATTGTCCCATTGATTAAGAGTAGGGACTGAACTTCATAAGTATCGATATCTTGAGGATAGAAAGCTTGATCTTATGGATTGATGAGAAAAGAAAAAATGTGGCAGCAAATAGCACATCCTATCGACGGTTCCCTCTTCGACTTTAGTGGCGGCGGAGGCCTCAGCATTGGCCATTGTTGATGAAGGTTTGCTAGGTACGACTAAAAACAGGTAGGGTTAGATTATGATTATATATATATATAGTTTGGCAATTATTTTTTAATATAGTTATATTTAACTCTTTTACATCGTTTTTTAATCTTTAATTAAAATAAATAAATTATATTAAAAGAAAATGCACCGAAGTCTTTTTGAATACTCAAAATTGACTTTTTCAGGAATACTATTTAAACTCTAAATTCTAAATTAATACAAATATAATATAAACCCTCTCTCTAAGTCATAGCTACCTAACCTTGATCAACAAATTAATACAGGATGAGCGATTTGCCCGATGAGCTTCTCTGCCACATTTTTTCTTTTCTTGAATCTCATGATTCCATAAGATTAAGCTATGTACAAGATATCGATACTTATGGAGGTCAGTCCCCACTCTTGATTTTTGGGACAATCATTGAAAATGCCTTCAAGTACCATCAAAACTTGGCAATCCTCCGAAAGTTTCGTCTTTGGTGTATTAATCTTCCATGCAAGGAATCTCTGATTTCTAAGTGTATCGATTCTTCTACGGCATCAAGTTGTTCTAATCACCAAGTGTTGGATATTTATCTAGCCGAGGGGTATCTTGTTGATTTATCTCCTACTATCTTTTCATGTCGAAAAATTACTAGTCTAAGATTGTCCAGTGGAATCGTTATCGACGAAATTCCCAGTGATACTTGTGTGTTCTTCCCGTGTCTTAAGACCCTCCGACTTAAATCGATTTCCATCTTCGGCGGTAACACATTGAACAAGCTTCTCTGTGGCTGCCCTCGCTTTAAAGTTTTTAATATCGAACGTTGCTACGTTCTATCTGACATATCCACACCCACAGTTATGGTCAAGCAACTACACATAAAATACCACATTAAACCTAGTAGGATACATGAAGATGGTGATTCAAATCGTGTATTATCCTTGTCTTCTGCATGCATTGTTGATTTTAGAAGAACCCGTGAATACAATTCTCAAGTCACCTTTGATCTTTTGAACTCAGTCTCCGGTATAGTAAAGCAAATGACCTTATTCACCAACAAGGTAAGCCTCAGAAATTTGATTTAACGTTTTCATCTAATTTTGCAGATTTTAATTTAATGTATGGTGTTGCAGAATGAAATTTACAACAGTAATAATGTGAATGGACCGTTATTATGGACAAATTTGACGCATCTTGGGTTAAAGCTAGGATGCATTTGTATGACCCTCAAGCTTTGTCACTCTTGTTGACGCATTCACCTGAGTTGGTCTCTTTAGTTCTCGAAAAGTTACGTCCATCTTGGTACTCTATATTTGTTAATATTATACATAGATTCGACTCGAATCGAGTTTAATTTATAATATTTTTATATTGATCTAATTGATACTTTTACTGTTTATTACAGGAATTTCAGTACTGTGATGATAGTTTACAGGAGAATTTGTTACCGAAAATGTTTTATACAGGAAGCTTGACACGGTTAAAATTGACGGACTTGATGGAAGGAGAGAAATGGGAAGTGTGAAATATTTCTTGAAGAATGCACTGGTTCTGAAGAAACTGATGATAGGGCATTGTTATAACAATAAGAAAATATTTGAAGAAACAGAGGCAAGGATTGTGAAAGAATCCAGACTCAATGTAAAATTGAATATACATCGTATATTAAAACCCTTATTCTTTTCTTAACTTTTATGTGCATAGTTTCTAAATAAACTAGTAGAGTAAAAGAAAAATGAAGTTGAGCTAAACAACCTGACGCCTACAAGTAAAGCTGTCACTGCATCATATGCATGGCCAGTTCCAAGTAGAAAAAATTCAATAAGAAAAATTGCGTTATTGCTTGGAATGCACTTATCCTAACCGTTGGACTACAAATGCTACAAAGAATTTCAGATATAACAATAAATTATTGTGTTAATATTGCTTCTCCATTCACAAACGAATTGAGATTTGCTTTCGTTATGAAGAAGCAAACGAAATTGACCTAGAAAAACAAACAAGATAAACAAAAAATTAATATTACATAATGTATATCATCAATGATCAATCCCATGTCACTTGAAATTAAGGACAAATATAGGATTTTTAAGTTATGAGGTGAATTTAGAGTTTTGTGGGGGGTTTAAGAGAGCTATGTGTTTTAATCCATTTTTTCAGAGAGTTTAAGTCTTAGGAAGTGTTATTAAATCCTTCTTAACCTTTAAAGCAAGTTAGTAACTCAAGTGGTTGATTCTTTTCTAGTGAGAGAAGTTGGAGAAAGTTCCAAAGCTAGAGGGAAGGAAAAGCTTGTGCTTGGGTGACTTTGAGGTGTCTTCCATCAGCTTAGAATCAAAGGTTACACACTTCTAACTCAACTCTACCACATGTAGATCATTAGGTGTGTTTTGGTAGGTTGCATGAGTTATGACACATGTCCATGTAGGTTTCATCTTTTGATGTTTCAACATGTTAAAAAACCCTTTTCCCTTTAATCATACATAAGACCTAAATAAAAAATGGGAACCTCAGTAGGATGTTTGGGGTATAAAGTTAGTATTTTCATGCCCAGAACAAGGCATTTCTAAGTAGGAGTATCGGTGCTAGAAGAACAATATTGATATTGTTCTTCAGCCAAGGTAAAAATAGGAGAGTTTTAGGAAGGGAGTATCGATACTGTAAGATCGGTTTCGATACCCACAGGGTGGTATCGATACGGGGCACAAATCAGATTCTAGTATCCGTTTTTGGTATCAGTACTTAAGGAAGTATTGATACTCCTAGTAGGCGCATCGATACTGAGGTATTTTTCAAAACATCAAACTTAATTTTAGTATCGATACTTGGGCCAGTATCAATACCCCATAACCAAAGTATCGATACTCAACCAGGAGTATCGATATTGCCTTTTCCCCATCATAATACAATAGTCAGCCGATATCGATACCAGAAGGTGGGCATCGATACTTAGGGGCAAGTATCCATACTGAAAGGGTAATATCGGCACCAACAGATAGTTTTGAATAAATAATTCAATGAGTAAGGAATTAGACTTGAGGGGCCCAATAACATTATAATATCACCAGATAAAACTACAAGCGAGAACAATAATTAATATCATAACAACTAGAAGCAATAACAATCAGGATTACATAAAACTAGCCTTGCTTGACACTCTTCAACTTCAGGTTCTTGACATAGTTTATTCACTCTTTATCTTTAGTTTGTAATGTTTCAATCTCTCATAAACTTCAGGTTCTTGACAAAGATTTTTTTATCTTTACTTTCTTGCAGTACAAAAAGCGCAAGATTTCATAATATAATAAATATTATGCTACGAGAAAATCTATCCAAGACCACACTCTTCAACTTTTGCCGGCAAAATCTTTGTATCGGTTCAATGTTGTCAACAAAAATTGAAGAGACATACTTTGCTCTGCTTCGTTTCCCCGAACTTGATCAACTGATTTTAAATTTGTTTCGGGTTTTTTCTACAAGAGTCAAGATGCCAGTAATTCCTATCGTTGGACCCAATGACGTTTGGTATTCCGGATGCCTCCTATCATTTCTTCAAACATGGATGGAGGGAATGTCTCCTATCATTTATTCTGACATTGGTGCAGGTGCTAATTCTTCAACTGGTCTCATGTGCTGCCGAGGTGTTACTCAACATATATATTATATTTGTAATCCCGTCAACCAATTGTGGATACAGATTCCCGCACCAATGATGATCATGGGTCTGACCCTGAAGTTGTTCTGGTTTCCCAACCAAAGTCAGAGTTATTTAGGTTGATTTGTAAGGTTAAAATGAATGTCGGTTATAGGATCTAGTTGTATTCATAAACAGAAAGGATAAAGATTATGGAGGGTAGCATGGAATATCTATTCTCCGAAAGATCGAATATTACCGAAATCTGATATAATTTTCAATGAGAGGGTGTACTGGCTTAAAGACATAGGCATCATTTTTTTTGACCTTCTATCTGAAACATGGAATATACATTTGCCCTTATCTTGACCAACGCTGGGCAAGGTGGATGGGATGTTATGCTGGAGCAGGGGACATTACGTTTGAAAACAATGGTAGGACACTGTGAGAGGCGTTGAACTTGGAAAAAATAGAAGCAATAATTTTAGATATTTTGATGCGAGAGGAATACTCTTCCTATCATTCCCTTGTTGACAAACGGGCGAAATTAAATTTGTAGGACAAAATTTAAAATGCTTAGGGGAAAGACCTGATCTGGTTTTAGAAACTAGGTATGTAATCTACAGTAATAATCTCATACAACGAGAAGAAATATACCATATGGGTTTATGGTTTTAGGATTAGATATGTTTTGGACTACTTATTGAAAGTGACTCTAAACTTCTTGTTGAACGACTTTCTTATCCTTCTCCAAATTTTTTTCTACGAAATTCGAAATATCTTGGATCTCTTTGTTGGTTTTGTTGAGTTTTATTGGGTTTTAAATCTGGAAGCTGCTTGGTATTATTTTTGTTTGGTTTGTACTGCGTTGCTGATCGCCCAAGGGGCTTATTACTATTTGCATTTTTCTAGAGCTTTCAATGGATATTGGTGGTTTGGTTTTTCATCCTTAGTTTCTTGTAGAACAAGAAGTCTAAGAAATATTCATATGATGATGATAACTATCATGCTATGTTAGAAATTCGACAAGTCTAACTCATTCACTATAGAAGATTTAGATATAAAATTAATATTATACTAACTCTTCCAATTTGGTTAGTCTTTTGTTTTATAAATTTTTAAAGCACAATAATACTTGGGAGGCAAAGTCACCTATATACCATTCAGGCGACATAATTGACCATATATTAAAACTAACCCAAATGGACTAATAACTTTTATTAATAAAAAATACAATTACATATTTACCGTACTATTTTTCTCTTTTCTAACTTTAATCTTTTTTTCTCTAACTCTTAGCTCTCTTTTTTACCTCACACTTTTGCACTCTTTTTTTTCATCTCACCGCTATTTATATATTATAATGATCATCGGATTGCTGTCCCATATCAATATCTTAGTCATTAACCCATACAAATATCTATTTTTTATAAATAATTATAGATAAAATATTAAATATTTAAAAATATCTAGATTATTTTATAGGTATTACTACATATCTACTATTTATATATTATTTTAGAATATTCTCGAGATATATAGTCTTAAATGATATTTATAGTTTTTAGAATCTAGTATAATGAATTCCAAGACACACTAAATTCAAAATCTAAATAATATTTTACATTGAAAGATAATAGGCAATAGAACCATATATGGCTGCTAATAAGCTATAAAGAACATCATCTCTCAGAAAGCTTCATCTTCTGCAAATTCCCACAAATCCCAAATCTATAGATAATGAGATATTACACTATTGTTTTTCACCTCCATTTTGTTTTACTTTGGTTCCATTATGTTGTTTTTGAAGGCTTCATCATTGTTAACACATCATTAATGGTGGCCTTAATTCTCTAAGCTGCCATTTGTCTTAATTAAGCATCCCTACGCAATAATCCATGACAAGCTTAATTAATTAATTATAATTTTAAATTTCACTGATAAAACGTGTGAGCCGTTTTAGTTTAAAATTATCTCAAAACTAACAACCGCTGCTATGTGCTGACTGCTGACAAAACTTTAAATTATTTTATTTGAAAACTTTATTTAATAGCAATTATTAACCAATTATTATAAAAACAACTAAAATATTTTAATCCTTTGATAATATCAACTTGGGTCCTTCAATCCCTCAACTACTCCTTTTATTTTTATTATTTTATATATCATATTATAATATAAAAATTTATATAAAATATATTTTTAGCGAATTTAGTAAGGAGATGAAGTTTTCTATAATATATTATAATAATACTACAAATTTTAAAGTAATATATATATATATATATATATATATATATATGAATTTTGGTTGACTTGTTTATCTATTTATACTATTTTAATTTTTTTGATTAAATATCAACTCGGCTGAAAAAAAAACAAATTATATAAAAGTAATAATATACTAATAAGTTTAAGAAAAGAATCAAGAAATGCTGGTGAGGTGAGTAAAAATTGATGAATTTTCAATTAACTCCCTAAAACAAATGACAAATGTTGGTGAACATGAAAGATAATAGAGTTTGTAATTTCGGATATTTTATTATTCATTTACTACACCGAAATCAAGGCAAATTCATTACTGGGAAAATAAATAAGAAATTCGAAATGTAAGAGATTCTTTAAAAAAAAAATTATTTTTTGTCTCGCCGTCCAAAGGGTACCGGACGGCAGTGGAACCAACTACTCCGCCACTTGTTAGTTTTTAATTATCCACGTGTCAGCAGATCCCAACTTGCGGTCCCACATTCCGTTGGTGCCGAAACACAAACGAGCACTCCGGCAACTCGCCCAGATCGGCGAACAACGACTCGTCCTCTTCTCTCATTGGGAAAATCACCGCCGCTTCATCCGCCTCTCCGTTATCCCTTTCCGCAAATAGGGTGCTCTCTAAAACCGTCGACGACGTCGTTTCCATCTTCCCAAACAAAGCAAATTCATCCCCCGTCGTAAGAATCGAATCGTCCTTCAAACCAGGGAAGCTATCTTCCATCCCGGATTCCGGCTCAGTATCCGGATGCGACGTAGACGGCTCCTGCTTTACAACTGCCGTACATTTAGCTGGCGTCTCTGCTGCTTCCGCAGCCTCTGCCGCCGCCGCAGCAGCTTGTTTAGCGGCGGGCTTATTATTTCTAGAAGCGGGCCAAGGGTGATTATGCTCACAAGAGTATGTGATCACTAACATTGTAGGATCTACGCGGCTCGTCTCGACTTGTTTCCTCGCCGGACATCCCTTTGAGCTACTACACCGGTAATAACCCCTGCCGGCCGGTGCCGCAATGATCAAAAACAAAAGCATCAATCAAAACGATTGATGATTATAATACATAACACTAAACAACGTACTGGCCTGGTTGTATATCCTAAAATGATGTAGTATTAATTACCTGGGATAAGGTGAGCCTTTGATGGGCTTTTGGCCGTACTTCCTCCATGCCCAAGAATCCGACGGTGGAGCACTACTCTCACCTTTAAGACGGGAACTTTCAACATCCTTGATTGGTATCGACACCACCCTTTTCTGCATGGGTCTTTTAGTACTGTAAACAGTTAACAAAACCCCATCAATTCAACACCCAAAAAAACAAACGAACTCTACAGAATTTTGATGCTTTTTCAGAGGGATAGAACAAACTTACCCTTTCCGAGGGGAGGTAAGTTTCATATGGTTGAAACTGGGAGAAGGAGGAGATTCCGGTTCAGATGAAACGCTGTCGTTTTCTTCTGATCGTCGTTGAATCTTGCTGTTAACCATGGTTTCCGATGATTCAGAAGAGTTTTTATGGTGATGCTGATTGATTAAGCAAATGAGACAGAGAGAGAGCTAGGTCGAGGAAGAAGAAGAAGAAGAAACAAAAAAAGAGTGGTCCTTTTAAAAATAAGCTAGGGGCGGCATGTTGTTGACAGATCGATTGGAGTTTTAGACGCCTTTTCTTGTATTTGTTTATGCAGGTCGTGCAAGCAAATGTGATATAAAATCCTAGAACTTATCTTTATTCAAAGCTTTATTTGAAAATGACCCAGTTTTTAACTACGGATTTCTTTCTTCTGCAATCATTCTTTACATATTTTCTTAATACTATCGAATATAAGGTTTATTATCAAGCAATTTTATCGTATTGTTTATATTTTTTAATATAATAAGTAATTTAAACATTAAATATCACTTTAAATATGAAATGAAATATATTTAGAACATTGTTCCAAAATATTATAAAATTTAATATGTTCGAATTTAAATTTAAATAAATTTATATACATGTCGTAAAGTTGTTCAAAGTTCGAATTCAGTTCACATAAAAATGATATTTTATTTATTATTGGACCGCGTTGTGGTTTCTCTTAATTATTATTAGTTATAAATTAATATTTATTAATGAATGAAAGCACACGAGTTTTCCCACCCTACTTCCTCACTATTATAGTCTCCTTTTTTTTTTTCAATTAATAGATCTTTTTAGAAGACTGATTTATTTTAATTAAGATTATTTTTATTTTTATAAAAGAAAAGTACCTAAAATCAAATTCGGGACTTAATATTAATTAAAAGTTAAAACTGAAACGATTATTCATTATTAATATATTATAAATTTAATCGATCAAGCTCTCGACTTTTATAACTATGGAATGAGAATTAAATAAAGGATTTTGATGTTATTATTTTTTCTGATAATTAATTTTAGTCGAACAAAATAGTATTTTATTTGGAATCTCCGTCTCCAATTTTCATATAAATATACATTTCGGAAACTTAAAGATAAATTTTAGTTAATGTATGGACTGTGATTACTCTTTTTTAGAAAAAAAAATGTAAATCCAAGCTTATGTCACACACTCTAACCTTGAAATAATTGTCGACAAACTTCATATTAAAAATGTGAATAATTATTATATTTTTCTTCTTCAAATTAATAAATTTATTTATTTATCTATTGTAAGCATTGAATGAGTAAATAAATAAATAAATGATTTATTAGCCGCCGCATTTTTATATTAAACTGTACCCCGCTTCTCATTCTCTACGGGTTAAATAATTGACCAATTAAAATTTAGACCGGTTATATTATATTATTTAACCGAAAATATTATCAAGCACAATAACATATTAGGTAGCGCTTATATAATGTAATAGGTAGCGCTTATATAATAAAATAGGCATTTAACCGGAAATATTATCAAGTACAATAACAAAGTAGGTAGCGCTTATATAATGTAATATGTAGCGCTTATATTGACATATTTTCTTATAAAACCGGTAAATTTAAACCGGTTACATTATAAATTGACCTATTACATTATGTATATCGGTTTCGATGTTTTCGGGATCGATACAATTTTAAATGTATCGACACTTTATGCGTGCAACTCGTTTGTGCTTTATTTTGGAAAAAAGTATCGACACATATTTAAAGAGTGTCGATACATAATGTAGACCTATTTGCTAATTAACCGGTATATTTTAACCGGTTACATTGTAAATTTACCTGTTACATAATAATTATCGATTTCGATGTTTCGAGGATCGATACTTTTTACAAATGTATCGACACTTTATGCGTACACCTCGTTTGCCATTCATTTTGGAAAAAATGTATCGACACAAATTAAAAAAGTGTCGATACTTTATGTTGACCTATTCTCTCATGAACCCGGTATATTTCTACCAGTTGCATTGGAAATTTACCTATTACATTATAATTATCGGTCTCTTTGATTTTGGGATCGATACTTGTTATAAATGTATCGACACAAAATCTAATAGTGTCGATACTTTATGTTAACCTGTTTTATAATTAAACGGTATATGTATACTGGTTACATTGTCAATTTATCTATTACATTATAATTATTTGTCATTAAAATAGTCTAATTTTACCACCTACATTGTAATTTTACCTATTACTTTAAAGTTATTGAATTCTGTAGTTATTGTACATACCTGAATATGTCCTGCAAATTTAATGTTGTACCCACCCTTCAACTACCACCACTACCAATACCACATCCTATTGAAAGCACCACTGAAACATATTGTTCAATGAACCTTTACTTACATACATCTCCATCAACTCCTATCGGGACCACTGAAATTGCACAATAAAATTTTTGTCATGGATCATACTGATGCAGACAATGTTAAGCCAACCGATGAATGCCATAAAGTACATAATGTTGATGAATCTGACATATTGGTTGGTAAGCTCTTCTCTTAACGTGATCAAGCTTGGTACTTTTACAAGGAATTCGCACGGGAACATGGGTTTAGTGCACGTCGGGGAACAACACGGCTTGACATGGAAGGGAATGTGAAGACACAAGAATTTTGTTATTCCAAAGAAGAGTTTCGAGTATCAAAAGTCAATATTGTTGATCGTCAACGTGCTCATACGCCAATCACAAGAACATGATGCAAGGCATGAATCGTAGTTACAACAATAAATACAAACGATCAGTGGGTTATAAGTAAGTCTTATCAGAAGCATAATCATGCATTGTGCACACCTGCTATGACACCATTTATGCGTTCTAATAGAGCTGAAAGTAAGGCTGATATCGATGAGGCAACAACATTGAAAGAGGTCGGTGTTGGCACGTCACAAGTAATGAACTATTTAATACAACAGGCATGAGGTTATCATAATGTTGGATTTACACATAAAGACCTCTACAATGCACTTCAAAGAGGCAAAGCAAAGGAAATCATCGATGGGGATGTGAATGCGCTTATTGCTTACTTTGATTATAAGAAACATGATGATCCCAAGTTTTTTGTGACATACTCGGTAGACGAATCAGGGGCGTTGCATAATCTTATTTGGTCGGATTCTACATCGAGATCAGATTACATATGCTTCGGTGATGTAATTACGTTCGACACAACGTACAAAGATAATTTGTATGGTCGACCAATTATGCCTATTGTCGGTGTCAATCATCACCATAACACAATTGTGTTTGCTACTGCCATAATCGCTGACGAGACGTAAATTGATACTTACTAGAAGTACATATATCCACCCTTTGGTCGCTTTCCACCCATTGACTTCATTTTTCCTTCATATATCAGTTTACGCAAATCAAATCAAATACTTGTATACAAAAATCGATAACCACTCTTGTGGTAAAACGGTTGGTCTTCAATAGAATTTGAATGACCACTACAACAAGTGTCGTCACATTTATACAACCTAAAAAATTATTTTCTACCTATAATATTATATACATGTATCCATATTTATTTTCTACCTATAATATTATATAATATAATCGGTCCCAAAACCTCCTTAGTTCCTTCAAATGAATGGGAATACTCAATACTCCAAGTATCGACACATTTATACAATCTATAATATCATTTTCTACCTATAATATTAAATAAAAGTATAGGTATTTATCATCTACCTATAAGATCACTTTCTACATGTAATCGGTCCCAAATGCTTCTTTACTTCGAAAACCCTAAACAACAACTCATAAAAACCCTAATTACTGTAATAATAAAAAACTAAGGTTTCAACAACGTACCTTTCGATTTGAAATACAGCAACAAACAAACAAACTTCAACATAAAAACGCCTTCTGAAATGCAGCAACAATTACGCTTCGATTTCAAAAACTCTATCTATTTTCAGAGAAAATTTTGCTATGCCTTTATATTTACACCGGATATGTTATTTATATTTAATCGATACAATTACCTAAGTGTCGATCCTTTTATGTGAAGTGTCGATACTTTCGATAGGATATTTACCTATTTCTTTTAAAGTGTCGATACTTTTTTACGCGTACTTATTAAAGTACCGACACTTTCAACATAACCGGTAGCGCTTTACCGGTTTTGTCATATTTTTACCTATTATATTGTTATGGATCGATACATTTTCATAAAGTATCGACACTTTTTAGTCTCTATAATTTATTCTCTTTGAAATTACGAAAGTGTCGATACTTATATTAATTTATCGACACTTTCAATATATCCGGTAGCTTTTTACCGGTTTTATCATTTCGAGACCTGTTTTTTCATACTATTACCTGTTATATTGATATGGATCGATACATTTGTATAAAGTATCGACACTTTTTAGGCGCTATAACTTCTTCTCTTTTAAATATAAAAAGTGTCGATAATTATATTAATTTATCGACACTTTCAATATATCCGTTAGCTTTTTACCGATTTTATCATTTCGAGACCTATTTTTTCATATTATTACCTGTTATATTGATATGGATCGATACATTTGTATAAAGTATCGACACTTTTTAAGCGCTATAACTTCTTCTCTTTTAAATATCAAAAGTGTCGATACTTATATTAATTTATCGATACTTTCAATATATCCGGTAGCTTTTTACCGGTTTTATCATTTCGAGACCTGTTTGTCATATTATTACTGTTATATTGCTATGGATCGATATATTTGTATAAAGTATCGACACTTTTTAGGCGCTATAACTTCTTCTCTTTTAAATTATAAAATTGTCGATACTTATATTAATTTATTGACACTTTCAATATATCCGGTAGCGGTTTACCGGTTTTATCATAATGACACCGGTTTTGTCATATTATTACATGTTATATTGCTATGGATCGATACATTTGTATAAAGTATCGACACTTTATAGGCGCTATAACTTCTTCTCTTTTAAATTACAAAAGTGTCGATACTTATATTAATTTATTTACACTTTCAATATATCCGGTAGCAGTTTACCGGTTTTATCATAATGACACCGGTTTTATCATATTTTTACCTGTTATATTGCTATGGATTGATACATTTTTCATTTGTATCGACACAAACGAACAAGCTAAGTTTGCCGGTTGCCAAATTTTTTAATATTTTCTTCATGATTTCCACCTACAACATTGTTATTACTCGATATTTCAGGTAGCGCTAAACCGAATTTGTT